CCTCCCACTGCTGGGCTTCAGCAATCCTCCCACTTCAGCCACACGAAGTGCTGAGACTATAAGGCATGCACCACTGCAGCAGGCCCTTATCATCTTTTGGATGTCTAAAATTTTGTAATTAAAAAAAAAAAAAAGATGGTATATAATCAAATGGATATCATGTTAGGAATTTAGTGAAATATCTCAGACTAGAAAGTACTCAGAAAAGATATTATACTTTATGAGGCAGGCTTTGAAGGAAGACTAAAACATAGATTATTCTTTAGGCAAAAAGTAACACAAACTTTTCTAAAAGAAAAGTGTGAACAAAGGCAAAGCTGGGAGTACCCGCAGCCTATAACCTAAATAAAGAACAGTGGGTGCCAACCACGGTGGCTCACACCTGTAACCCCAGCATTCTGGGTGGCTGAGGCAGGTGGATCACCTGAGGTGAGAAGTTGGAGACCAACCCAGCCAACATGGTGAAACCCTGTCTCTACTAAAACAAAAATGAGCTGGGCATGATGGCGCCCGCCTGTAATCCCAGCTACTCAAGAGCCTGAGGTACGAGAATCGCTTGAACCCAGGAGGCGGGGGTTGCAGTGAGCCAAGACTGAGCCACACCATCTCAAAACAAAACAAAACAGGGTTGTGGTGTGTCCCCTATTGCTGTGCTGAGGTGCTGGATCCAAGAAATAAAGAGACAGGACACAGGACTGGAAAAGAGCAGCTGGGCTCAGGGGCTAGCCAGCCACCTGTGAGCAGAGACAGGCGAGGCCTGGAACGTCCAGAAGCATCTGCATTTACTAGGTACAAGGCAGGGGGAAGGGTCATGAGGTCATCTATAGGCTTAATGATAGGGCATATATAATCACGTGAGTAGCAAGCGAGGGGGCCACCCCATTAGGTCACCGAGTTAGAGAGGTGGGCCGTGCACAGTAGGGGGCTGTGCCGTGCGCAGCTGTTGAGGGTCATATACAAAAAGAAGGTCCACCCCCATTAGGTCACGGGGCAAGGAGGTGAGCGGTATGCAACAAGTGCCGTGTGCAACACTTCTTATATGGGGGCTGGAGACTTCAAAGGATTCCTATAGAAGGGTGCTGTAAACCAATGCAGTCGGAGCTGACAGAGTGTGCTCTTCTCTAAGATAATTTATAGGTGGATGATGCGAGCCAGCCTAGTAGCAAGAAAAAGCTGACAGGGTATACAGCCGCCGTGGCACGATTACACCAGAGGGGTTCTTCTTCCTCAGTTGTTCACAGGATCTCAGGCCTGAGGCCTACTTCCACAAGAACTGGAAGCAAGGTACTGGCACTCCTTTTCAGGAAGAATAACTCTTGCTCCAAGCCAGCCATGCAGCGGGTATTGAGTGCTGCCGTCTAAGCCCTGACCTACCATGTAGCCTATGCCCTTTCCGGCAGGGGCGCTACCACCTGGGTCATTGGTTCTTGTGTTTTTCCCATCTACTTGCTTCCGCTCTGTGACTGCTCTAGGCATTCCTCCTACTACAAACTACTATGTGATTATATAGAAAGATTATATAAATCAGCACTAAATGTGTCGGTACAGCTCTGATTACAATCCATTATACAGAAAGGTTATATAAAACTAAGTTATATATATATATAAGCTAGATATAAGATTATATGGAACTAAATATGATTATATATATAAGCTAGATATAAGTAAACAGTAAGTTATACTTCAAGCACTAATTGTGCCTGGGGTCTGCACAGCTCTTCTTCCTCAGTGCCCATGTTGGGGGTTACCCACAAAAATATTTTTGAAAAATGCTGGACTGAAGTGTCCAGCTAGAAGGTACTGCTGCAATTCAAAAGTGAGGGTCATAAAACCATGGAATGGGTTTTATGGGGTAGTACTCTTGGGAAAGAAAAGAGAAAAAATGAATCCACCAACTTTTTAATAGAGTATCTGATAGGCTTTGCTGACAAACTAGATGGGATAATCAAAGAGTAAGACCTCGCTGGGTGCGGTGGCTCACACCTGTAACCCCAGCACTTTTAGAGGCCAAGGCAGGCGGATCACGAGGTCAAGAGACCAAGACCATCCTGGCCAACATGGTGAAACCTCCTCTTAACTAAAAATACAAAAATTAGCTGGGTGTGGTGGCACATGCCTGTAGTCCTCAGGAGGCAGAGGCAGGAAAACTTGAACCCAGGAGGCGGAGGTTACAGTGAGCTGAGATCACGCCACTGAACTCCAGCCTGGCAACCGAACAAGACTCTTATCCCAGAAAGAAAAAAAAAAAAATGAAAGAAAGAGTAAGACCTACCTGAAAAAATTAAAAATGCCAACTGAGCAGCAGCTTCTTCTGGTCATACCTGGACATCAACGACATCGATAAGGCCATGTAAAAGTCAGCACTAAGGAAGGGTTATTCAAGGCAGAAAAGCAAAATGGCACGTTTACAGGGATTAAGAACAGAACAAGCAACAGCGACCAGGAAATTACAGAAAAAGATAACCACTACATCCTGGAATGATAAGAAATAGAGTTTCAAAAAGAGGCATCACTGTGTACAATGAGGGACTGCACAGCCTTTGTAGCCCATCAGATGCAGAATTCTGGCAGCTTCTCCACTTGCCCACATTATTTAACCACTTTGAGCCTCACTTAATAAGGAAAACATAAAATCTGACCAATATATTTGAACACGTAGGGGCTTCAAATATATTGGTCATATTTTATTTCTTTTTTCTTTTTTGAGACAGAGTTTGGTGCTTGTTGCCCAGGCTGGAGTGCAATGGCATCATCTCGGCTCACTGCAATCCCTGCCTCCTGGGTTCAAGCGATTCTCCTGCCTTAGCCTCCTAAGTAGCTGGGATTACAGGCATGTGCCACCACGCCCAGCTAATTTTGTATTTTTAGTAGAGACAGGGTTTCTCCATGTTGGTCAGGCTGGTCTCAAACTCACAACGCCAGGTGATCCACCCACTTTGGCCTTCCGAAGTGCTGGGATTACAGGTGTGAGCCGCCGCACCTGGCCCATATTTTATTTCTTAAACTCAGCTGTGATACATAAATGTTTATTAAATCAGACCCCATTATCTTCCGTTGTTTTTGTTTTGTTTTTGTTATTTTGAGACAGGGTTTTGCTCTGTCCCAGGTGCTTTACATATCACCTCATTTAATCCCCACAATACATTTTACAGATGAAAAAATTGAACTTAGAGGTAGCATAATAAGCAGCAGAGCCAGGATTACTATTTCTTAGGATTTAAACAATGTATATATAATTTTCCTGGTAAACAGGATGACCTCAAAATGAGTAGCTATATTTCATTATTAAGAGATAATGACCAATAAGGGCAAAACTGCCAGTAATTCCTGTTACAGCCTTCCATGTGGCAACCTCTCTCAACATCCTCATCTATACACTAGGATTAATGCCTATAACCCAACCTACTCCATAGGGTTGCCATGAAGATTACATATTATGAATATGAAAACGCTATGAAAAAAATCTTAATAGGCATGCAGATATGAGGGATTGATGTCACACACCTTTTGCCTTCAAAATACTCCGAAATAAGTCTCTGAATAAGCTAAAAATAAGTCTGTTAAATGTAAAACCACCATTTTGAAAAGTATAAATCAACATGGAATTACCACCTACACCTGCCACTGACTCCTCCAGGTTCTCTAATGTCTCTCTACAAGGGCAGGGATTCCCTTACACCTTTTAGTGAAATTCTGATAACTTACAGTACAGCTAATCAATAGAGACCTTCATTTCAATTAAGAGTTTTTCAAACTGGCCTATTGTGTTTTCTCAGAGGTGCTCCTTCCAGTTCTTCCAGAAAAGAAAAAAGTGCCCAATTTTCTTCTCTTTTATTAAAAGGGTGCCCAGTGAGTAGACTGTAGGTAACTTACAAAATGCTAGAAAAGAATCTATCAATTGACTTGCTCAAGGTATCTGACAGCAGTTCGCTTTTGGAAACCCCTTCACAAATCCCGTCTTTTCACCTGAGCAGCTGGCTTCCAGGCCTCAAGGCTCACATGTCTAGTCACACAATTCACAGTAGCTCCCAAAGTTCCTACCTTTCCAATTATCCCATGTTCTGGAACACAACACGTTTCATCTAAGGACCTCTAGCTGTCAAAGCATATGAACTCTTTAATCTTCACCACAGCACTGAGGGATTACTATCCTTATTTTATAAGTTAAAAATGAAAGACTGAGGTTATATGTTTTAGCAATATCAAACAATTCGTTAAGTCATTCCTGGGGAGAGAGGAATGAATATTACCAACTTCTGTCAATGGACAACCTAGATTTGGCTTCGTAAGATCATTGCAAATATTAGTTCGAACACATACACTCTTGTATGCATACATTTCCAACATATGTATCAAAGATTAAATATAAACTATTAATAATAGTAAATACCATACCAAAGCAGCACTATTTTTACACACAAAACTATATTGCGGGGAGGGGGTCTAATTTAAACCTCCCACTGTCTTGCATCCATAAATACTTTTGAACTTGAGAGGGTAGAAGGAGGAACACCTGTCAGAGCAGCACATCCACAATGTTTTACAGACTGTGTAGCTATTAATATTTAATTCCTTAGCCATAAGCAAACCACCTTCTCAAAAAAACAAAAAAGGCAGCAATATGAAGTACTTGACAAGAAAGTCTACGCGGTTGTAAGAAGACCAATAATTCCCCGGTTTTAGGTCTCCCAGACTTCGTGAACTTGCCACGAGGCATCACTCCACCCGCCCGGGAGGTCAGGCCGCCGGGACCCCGGCGCTGCCCACCCGACTTTCCACGCGCCAGGCCGCGGGGGAGGCTCCGATTCCCGCTCCCCTCAGGCCCCCAGTCGCCCCGTGGACAGACGTGGAGGGGCACTCAGACCCGCCTCCCGACCTCGGCGCGCCCGGCTCGGGCCAGGCTGGCGGGGAGAGGGTCGCAGCAGGGCCTGGCCTAGCCGCCCCCGCCCCGCGGCCGCCGGCGCAGCTTCCCTCCTTCTTTCCGCTCCCCGATTCGTTACCTCTTAGGCGCCGGCGGCTGCTCCATGACGGCCGGGGGCAGAGAGAGGGACCCGGTGGACCGCGAAGGCCGAAAGGAGGAAAGGAGCCGGAGCACCAGCCAGCCGAGCCTAGGGAACCACAGAGGGAAACTCTGGGAACTCGGACCAACTTTCCCGTAACTCCGCGGCGGATCTCCCTCCCGCTCCTGAGCACGACTCCTCCCGCCCCGCCCCCGGCAGCCGGCCGCCCGCCCGCCTGCCTGCCTGCCTCAGGCAGCTGCCCAGAGAAGGTGGGCGGAGCCGGGAGCCGCAACGGGGGGGCGGAGCCTGCCGCGGTCTGGGGTGGAGGGCGGGGCCGGAGCCGCGGCTGGTGGGCGGGGCCGGGGACGAAGGCGGGGCTGGCCCGAGAGCCCGTAGACCGGGAAAAGGAGGAGGTTCTGCTACAGCGAGGGGGCGAGGCCGGAGCCGCTCTAGGCCGGAGAAGGGCAAGTCCCTCCGAGCTAGCCCAGGGCTCCGCCCCTGGCTTGCCCTCGCTAGGGTTTGCCCTGATCAGATTTGACTCCTTTCTTCGGCTTTCCCAAGGATACATCCAAACATCGTGTGAATCCGTTTGAAGCATTACTTTCTAACTGCCCACGCTTCCCTCTCTAGTTCTGTTTATTAATTATTGACAGCCATTTGACATGCGTGGGCCACAGTACTAGGGATACTTCCGGAAATTCTTGTTCCATTTTTATTTTGGCAAGCTCCTCGCTAAGTTTCACAATAATTACCTCTAATTACAGAGAAAATAATTAGTGCAGTGAGAGCTCTCGGTGCACCAAACTCAGTTCACTGGATTCTTGCAGCTGTCCAACTGGGTAACGTGGCAAGCCTGTCACAGATTATGGTGCCAAGAATAGCCCAGAAAAGCATGTTTCCTTCCATTTTTGGTCCTCTCCCACAACCTGGTCCCCGTAGCCCTCATCCCATTGTAATTTGACCACTGCATGCATCCATACTGTGAGTATACTTTTAACTTTAAATTTCATATGTAGATACCTTTCATATAACAATATATAGCTGCTACATGAATTTGCTTGTTTTTGTCGGAAATTGTCAAGATGGGCCCAGCGCCGTGGCTCATGCCTGTAATCCCAGCACTTTGGGAAGCCGAGTCGGGCGGACTACTTGAGCTCAGGAATTCAAGGCCAGCCTGGCCAACATGGTGAAACCCTGTCTCTACTAAAAATAAAAAAATTAGCGGAGTGTGGTGATGCACCTGTACTCCCAGCTATTTGGGAGGCTGAGGCAAGAGAATCACTTGAACCTGGAGGCAGAGGTTGCAGTGAGCTGAGATGGCACCCCTGCACTCCAGCCTGGGTGACAGAGCAGATTCTGTCAAGAAAGGGAAGAAAGGAGGGAAAGGAAGAAAAAGAAAGAAAGAGAAAAGGAAGGAAGGAAGGAAGGAAGGAAGGAAGGAAGGAAGGAAGGAAGGAAGGAAAGAAGGAAGGGAAGGAATGAAAGAGAATGAGAAAGAAAGGAAAGGAGGGAGGGAGGGAAGGAAGGAACGGAAGGAATTGTCAAGATGTAGAGTCATAGAGTTTTCTTGGAAGTTAGAACAATAAATATGAAGAGAATGTTAAAGGAAACAAATTTGAAGGGAATGTTGAATAATGTGAATATTTGCCAAAATTAAGCTTGTCTATTAGCAGCTAATACAAATTTAGTTTAGTCCTCTTTTTGCATTAAGTTTCACTATGTAATAAACTTACACTATTTATTTTCAAACCATTATATTCCAGTTATTTTATGACCATTTTGAAACTCAAATTTTAAGAACAAGGAAAAGGTTGTTTTTGTTTTTGTTTTTGTTTTGAGACAGGGTCTCACTGTCACCCAGGCCGGAATGCAGCGGTGTGATCATGCCTCACTGCAGCCTCAGCCTCCTGGGCTGAAGCCATCTTCCCACCTTTGCCTCCCAAACTGGCACTACCATGCCTGGCTATAAAATTTTATACTTGTTTGCATTTATTAAAGATCCACAGTCTGACTGTTCAGAAGTAACAGGACAATAACAATTTAAAAACCTAAATATTTAAAATGTTAAAGCTGAGAAGAAGCTTTGAAATTACCCCACACTACCCCCTACTCTCATCTTCACTTCTTCACTTCCATGCCATACTCCCTTTTTTTTTAGATGGAGTTTTGTTCTTGTTGCCCAGGCTGGAGTCCAATGGCATAATCTCGGCTCACTGCAACCTCCGCCTCCATGGTTCAAGCAATTCTTCCACCTTAGCCTCCCTAGTAGCTGGGATTACAGGTGCCCACCACCACGCCCAGCTAATTTTTTGTATTTTTTTTTTTTTTTTAGTAGAGATGGGGTTTCACCATGTTGACCAGGATTGTCTCGATCTCTTGACCTTGTGATCCACCTGCCTCGGCAGGTACTCTTTATTAACTGACCAGCTTAGAAAAATAATCATGGGAGACACCTTAGTTCATTCTTCTAATAAGCCTGTTGATCTGATCCTCCCTGTTGCCAGCATCTCCACCTTCTACAAAATGCGTGGTCTTTTTCTTCATTTCACCTCCTAGAGAAGATCATTTAGAGGGCCACGGGAAGTTATTTGCTTCTTTGAAGCTTTTTCAACAGTATAGATCTCATGAATCAGATCCTCCATGCAGATGATGACATATTTTCCAAGAGATCGAGCAATCAGAGCGTTATCTGTCAAAGCAATTCACTTCTTTTTGATTTTGCCATAACCACGTTTGTAGATTAGTTCATTTACTGACTTCAGATTTGGGTACCCCCATGCAATATATGGCTCTACGATCCTCAGCATGTTAATTGAAGCCTTGTTGAGCTTCACAGAGGTTCCATTGAAGATTTGAGGAAGGCAGAGAAGCTGCAACACCTTTCAGACCTTTGGGCTCACACCATTGATACCTCTGATCCTGATGACAAATGCCAGTTTGGGTTCTGCAGGTACATGGAAGTTGCCAGCTTTCCTTGCCATCCTTGCCATTCGAATTTCAGTTCTGTACGTCCGCCTATATTCCTTGTGATAATGCTTCGCTTTTTCATAGATAAGCTTCCTCCTTGCCTTTCGAAGCCATCTTTTGGGCAGACTTCTTTCTCAGGTGCTTGATCTTCAGCTCTGCAAAATTCCTTCACTTTTTCTTAAGGGTTTCTGGCACAGCAGGAACCTTCTTCTTCTTTTCTTCTACACCCTCCATGGTCTCAAACTCCTGACCTCAGGCTATCCACCTGATTCAACCTCCCAAAGCTGGGATTACAGACATGAGCCACTGTGCCCGCTCACTCCCATTTTTGTATTTCATAAGAGAAACCTTTTAAGGAAGGCTGGGCGAGGTGGCTCACACCTTCAACTCTAACACTGGAAATCCGAGGCAAGCAGATAGCTTGAGCCCAGGAGTTCGAGATCAGCCTGAGAAACATGGTGAAACCCCATCTCTAAAAAAAAAAAAAATAGCTGGGCATGGTGGCATGCACCCTACTAGTGCTACCTACTAGAAAGGCCAAGGTAGGAGGATTGCCTGAGCCCAGGATGCCAAGACTTCAGTGAGCCATGATCAAGCCACTGCACTCCAGCTGGAGCAATAGAGTAAGACCCTGTTTCAAAAAAAAAAGATAAATAAATAAATAAAATGATCTCTTTTACCAACCATAATTTCCAAGGAGACTTCCCAGGTCAAACCACCAGTGCCATCACCCACTTCCTGTCACATTTAAGTTGTGAAAGAGATGCCTGTCTTATATATGTCCGTAGCACCCTGTGTTGGCTTTTGTATGAAACTTATCACACTGTATTGAAGTTGTGTTTATTAGACTGTCATCCCAACTCAACTATGAGTTGATTGAAAGTTGAGCCATATCTTTATTCTCGATACCTTGCATAGCAAGTGCCTGATACATACTAAGGGCATTGGGTTGGATAGCTTCCCTTTAGTCCTGCAGAATCATTCTCCATTCTTTTCCATCTGTCTCGGCTCTGAGAGCAGAAGCCTCTTGGCTTTTGGTTGGGTCTGATGATAGGCCCAGCAAGAGATCATCTGAGAGAGAAAGGAGGGTGAGACTATTTGATGCCCTGGTTCCCTTCCTGTGATGTCACCTAGGGCTAGATGTGTTCCAGAGAATCATGGCTCTTTGCAAAGCAAACTACTCTACCCAATTATCCCTTCTTCCCCTTGACCCTTTGCGCCTAGGTGTCATGACTGCTCTGGTATTCCCTGGGGTTCTTCTCTATGTCCTATGTTCCCCTAACCTCAATCCTCAACTGATGCTTTGTAAATTAAACTCTCTTCAACTGACCCTAATTTGATTGTACCTTCTAAAGGGCTTAGAATCCTGACTGATATGCCCATAAAGAAGTGTGGAAGGAGGAGGGATAATATCAGAAAATAAATTTCTAAGGTCTTTCTTCAACTTGAAAAGGGAGAAGGCTAATAAATATCATATGACTCCTCCATTTTCTCATTAAACCCTTAAAACTACCTTGTGAAGTAGTTATATCCATTTTATAGGTGAGAAAACTGAGGTTCAAAGGTGTGAAAGAAGTTACCCTAGGACAAGCAGAATGTCTGTATTCTGATCCAGGCCTTTATGACTCCAAAGCTGGGCCTCATTCCACTGTAAATCAGTCAACCAATATTTCTTGATCACCTAAATATGCCAGGCACTGTTCTAGGTGCTGGAGATTCATCAGTGAAGAAAAGAAACAAATAAACAAAAATCCCTGCCTTCAGTGGGTGGGGCTTACATTCTGGATGAGAAAACATAATAAGATTAAAAAGTACCTAATAGAGCATGTTAGATATTGAAAACTGATAAGGAAAAACGGTGACATGGAGAAAAGGGAATATAAAGTGAAGGGGAAGAGGCCAGATGCAGTGGCTCAAGCCTGTAATCCCAGCACTTTGGGAGACTGAGGTGAGCGGATCACTTGAGGTCAGGAGTTTGAGACCAGCTTGACCAACATAGTGAAACCCTGTCTCTACTAAAAAAATACAAAAATTATCTGGGTGTGGTGGTGATCGCCTATAATCCCAGCTACTCAGGAGTTTGAGGCAGGAGAATTGTGTGAACCCAGGAGTCAGAGGTTGTAGTGAGCAAAGATCATGCCACTGAACCCCAGCCTTGGGCAACAGAGCAAAACACTGCCTCAAAAACAAAAAAAGGCCAGGCGCCTCCCAGCACTTTGGGAGGCTGAGGTGGGCAGATATCCCGAGGTTGGGAGTTCAAGACCAGCCTGACCAACATGGAAAAGCCCC